TGTGTGTGTGTGTGTGTGTGTGTGTGTGTGTGTGTGTGTGTGTGTGTGTGTGTGTGTGTGTGTGTGTTTTCTTCCTGGCTATTTTACAAGAGGGAAAGACAGACCTAGTGTGGCAGTGAGCTGGCAATCATGTCTCCCTATTTACTGAGAAGTTACTGATTAAAAACGACAACAACAACAACAAAAATAACAGTCAGATTACTGATTATTACCTGATGTAATTAAGATTAGCTCAAGGAGCATGGCAGCGGCTGTTGTTCTCATTATCAGCAGATTAGGCTTTTGTTTAATCTAATAGTTGATTGGTCTGTACGAACAGGGAGGAATGCACCAACCATCAGCCAAAATTCAGCAAATACTACATTCACATGTAAAACACAGGGGGAATTGAATCCTCGTGTTTTTGGAAGCTGAGACTGTAAAATGTTTGCTACTTTTGCTGGAACACTTGCGTCAAAGAGTGGCTTAATCTAATCAACCACTCAGTTCAGTCAAATAGCTACAACTCTTTGACTCAATAACATAATGTCATCACCAGCTGCCCCTCTCTGTTGGACTAGTCTCATTTTTGATTACATCTACTTACAGTACTGTGTAAAAGTCTCGGCCACCCCTTTCTTTATGTTTTGCTTCCATAAAGCCAGACTTCCTTATATTTTTTTAAGTGGTCCAGTGCAGTAGTTCTGCAGGCTTTCTGAAAGGTCTTTCAAAGTTTTTCTTTGGACATCGGCTTTGTTCATCTATAGCAGAGGAACTGATGATGATGATGATCTGAAGGTCATGTCCTTAAGAAATATGAAAAACAAGTTGCAAAGACCTGACATAGGAGGTCTCATGGAGTGACTATTTTCAAATCAAATTTGAAAATGCTGGTTTAAATCTTCATCAACATGTATGCAGGTTAGCAGAGAGACAACAGTGAGTGCCAAAGGCCATTTGTAAGACATGGTGGAGTCATGGTTTTGGGCTGTATTTCAGCCAGTGGTGTTGGAGATTTTCTCAAAGCTGATAAAATTGTGAACGAAGAAAAATAACATCGGATTTTGATCCAACATGTAATACCTTCTGAAAAGTGTCCGATTGGCAACGGCTTCATTTTTCAGCATGACAATGATCCCAAACACATTGTCAGAGCAGTAAACACATAGAAAAATACATATGGACACTATCAGTCATGGATTAGCCTGCCCAGAGCCCAGACCTCAACATTACTAAAGCAGTGTGAGATCATCTTTACAGAAAAATGGGTAAAAAAGACAGCCAACATCCAAAGAAGAGCTTTGATTGCCTTTCAGGAAACTTGGACAACTATTCCTGAAGACTACCTAAAGAAATGACAAGAAAACTTATCTAAGAGAGTTCAGTCTGTGTAGAAAAATAAAGGTGGTCATAGCAAAAGTTGACTTTAAAGTGTTAGAATTGTACAAACAAAAATCCCTATAGGCTTTTGGACACAGATTTTACTTAGTCATGTGGTCAGAAATGCCTAGATTCCTACCAAATAAACTAACAGAGACTCGCTGCCTTTTCTGTGTGTGGACAGATTATGATTACAGCCATGTGACGCTCCCCAAAAGCCCCAGTTTGAGTATTTAGGTGTTAGTTACTTTAAAAATCAGCTGTTTCAAGTGCAGTGTCATAGTTTTGAGCTTTTAGTTTAGTAATCATTGTTTCCACCACACACTGGTGTGGTAAAATAGGAAATGCAGAACTTATGTGTCAGTGTCAGGAAACATGACACCTGTGGTTTTGTCTTTTTGTTTGTTTTCTTTAAACTAACTGTTGTTTGTCAGGTTGTCTTGATATTTTCAGTTAAAGCAACAGCCAGAGGAGTTATTATCCATGTGATTTTGCACTTTATTGTCACTTATCTCATTTTACTTTGATTTGATTTAGAAAGGGACAAAAATAATCCAATTTTAAAAAGAGCTACACAAGTTATACAAGCTCCAAATCAGAATCTGAAATAAGACAAGCTCATCAGACATTCTCATTCGGCCCAGTCCAGTTAATGGTGCACTGTGGTGCAGTGGTTGGGACTGTCTCCTTGCAGCAACAAAGTCCTAGGTTTTGATCTCCTAGTCAGCTTTCTGGTTGGAGGTTGCCTGCATGGTTATCTCAGGCTTTTTCCCACAATCCAAAGGCACGCATGTGATTCTGAATTGGCCGTGGATGTGAGGTAGTTAAAATCATAGTGTGAAGTGCTGCATGAATGTCTTTGACTTTGAGAGGTCAGTAAGAGTAGAAAAAAAGAAAAGCAATGCTAGTCCACTTCCATTTTCATCAAATTTTCCAGCCACCTAAATGGATATATGTAAAAGAGCTGTTCTCTCACTGTATTCACAAGTGCAGAGTTGTTACATGCATTTCCTGTGTGCGTGCTGCCTGTGGGTGTGATAATGCACTTCGTCCATTTTCTCTGGTGGTACAGCAGAAACGGCTGGTTTGGGTGCAAAGAAAGAAGCTTCACTTAACTTTGTTTTGTTTGTTTTTTTCCATTCAGTTTTAACTTGGCGTTTTGCACTTGTCTGTTGTGAAATCCCCCCCCGCCACCGCCTCCTGTTGGAGAGCCAGTTAAGGATTGTGAATACAAGCATGAGTTCAGATTACAGATCTGCTCTTGCAAACATGGGTGTAGATTTCAGAGACGATGCAGGGAGTACTTACAAACTAATATTTAGAACACATGCATTTATCTCTCGCAGTAAAATCGTGTAAAAAGCAGACGGCTTATTTCGAAAAATAATCACATTACCCAGAGGAATGCCACTGACGCGTGAGTGCTTTTCTTCAGCAAAAGGTCTTATTTACTCCCAAAATGTGAATTTAAATTCAGTCAACAACATTGAAAGTTCATACAAACACTGAACGTTTCGTGGGAAAGGTAACAATCTCTGTATCGACCACAATCACACTATTGCCAACTGGAGTGTTTAATTAAGGTTTTAGCAATTGATTTCACAGCAACAATGCGCAACAAGTTGGGGAATACATCTTTTCCCTAACAACCGGTGGTTGCCAAGTGGTCAACAACCAGTCTCGAAGCCCATGTGACTGAGGACTCACACTCACATACAACAACAAGCTCAAACTGTGCTTGTATGTGTGTTGACATAGCGGTGAAATTTTTGAGTAAGAAAAGCTGACTATACTTACTTGAATTTGACACATAATACATGTTTTTCCAGTAGGGTGCTGGATTTTTCTGTTGTCTTTGGGGTTTTTTCCCCGTATTTAAATAAAGACATTTTTAACTTTAAGTTAATGCAGAAAAGAAAATGCACTGGGTGCTCAAAATCTCCTTCACAAAGGCCCCCAGATGCTGTACTTCCTCCCCAGTGTATGAGGGAAACCTACATGAATGCTGCTGGAAGGCAGAGAAACAGAGGAACATATTAAAGTTTCATTTTATTTGATTGAGTAATCATAGCTTAAAGGACTTTTACTCTTTTCAGCCTTACTTGTACACAGTACTTGGTGATTTGTGCACATCCCTAAGTCATGCACTGTGTTTCAAGCTGGAGGTTTATATGGTTGCCATCTATTAATGATTACATAAATTCATTGTTTGACTGTAGGACACGAGTGTCCGTTAGAGGACACTGGTTTTGCAATTTGTTTCTTTTTGAAGTTGTTTCTTTTGCTTTCCCCATGAATCCTCTCTGTACTCTCCCATCCTCCACCTAATGTTGTTGAAGCAGCAACCTCGGCACCCCTTCGTGCCTCCTCTTTGATAAGCCCCTACAACAGTGTTCTTTCATCCCTATCATAGTTCTCTGCTGTGCCTCCTTCTTCCACTGAACATAATATGCATGCATGCGTAAATGATTTCCAGATTTGAAAACTAAAAAGTTTTAATCTAATCTTTTCCTGTAGTTTTTTCATAGACCATCGCATCTTCTTTGCCTTGTCTATTTTTGCTCACAAAATTGACTCTATTTAGAAATTAATCAAATTTTATGACTTGACCGAAGCTGGAAAAACTAGCAGTCCTGGAAACGTTCAAGCATGCTCCTAGCAGTCCTAAGAAAGAAACTCGATGCCAGCATGTGGTGATTACATAACATACCGGTACCTCTTTTAAGTGCAGCCAGCTGATGGAAATGCCCCGTGGTTCTCCTTTAGAGTGAAATTTGATGCTTCTATATTTGAGACGAAGTAAGTAGAATGAAATGCAAAGTATCTTCAGATGTAATCATATGAAAGTATTCTTCCGCATATCACTGGAAGAATATTGGCATATGCCAAAATGGTATCAAGTTATAGTCGTTCTTGCGTGCACACAGTTTAAAATCAATGTAGTGAGTGCCAACACAATCAACTGCTCATCCCACAAGAACAAACGCAGAGTCATG